TATATATATATATATATATATATAATAGCTGGCCACTCGTATTCGAAGATGCCTGTCTATTAGGGCAGCTAACAAATCCCAAATGCAGAAGCTCGCTCAGGCATATTTGAGTTTGTTCAACATCCACAGAACCGACCTGTGGTTTATACTGCAACTATGCGGAGCAGACCTTAGTTACAGTTTCTGGGAGAGACTGTGTTATTCATGTCAACAATCTGAACAAGGCAAGCACAATCAAACCCTTGGTCACGGGTTCCGTCTACCGAATTTCACTCACAAGTCTTGGGTCAATCGTGGTATGGTTTTCAGGCCCCTCCAGATCGACAACATCAGGAAGTCTACTTCCTGACAAATCAACCGTGGGCCACGTATAAATATATACATACATATATATATATATATATATATATATATATATATATATATATATATATATATATATTTATGAAAATATATAGAAAATAGGAAAGAACTGGTTAGGTAGATCCAAAGTCCCTTAGTATTTTAGTTATTATTTTTAAAAAATAGTGCTCGATACAAATGTAGAGCGTAAATATAATTATTTATTTAAAAATATGATTCCAACTCGCGACATAAGAGGTCTCATGTTTCAAAACAAGAGCCGAAAACTTCAATATAATTATTTGAATTAAATTGAGTTAAAGAAAGCTCTGTTCCATCCTCAAGCGAAATTTTTTTTGGAATAACTTATTTCAGAAATCTACGTGTTTTAATAATTGAAATCAAAATTTCCATGGTAACAGCTAGGGCAAATTGTTTAAATTGGGTAGACGTGTGTTGGGTGTTAATAATAAGTATCAGTATAGAGTTATTTTCATAGATGTCAAGTCAGGGTAACTTTTTCGGCTCCTGTTTTGAAACATGAGACCTCTTATGTCGCGAGTTGGAATCATATTTTAAATTTTAAATATATATATATATATATATATATATATATATATATATATATATGCATATCATCATTGAAGCATGTTTGGTTGAATAATCTATACATATTACGTCTATTTAATTTTATCTGAATCTTGTTCACGAATCAAATTTTTAGTGTCTGTGCAAAATTGATCAATAAACAAAACCGTAATTATCCACATTATTCATTTTATTTTTATTTTCCCAAGTCTAGAACAACCTAAGAAATTATGTCTTGTTGAATAAACACTAAAAAAAAAAAACCTTTTCAGTTCATGTGAACCAGGATGAAAAAAGAGTATACTCATTTCATTTAACCCCTCCCCACCGATACATTTTCAATACCCTTGCGTTTCTCCTACTCCTACTCCTTCTACTGCCCTTCTATCACACTTCGTGAAATTATTTTTTTAAGAATTGGCCTTCATTAATTTAAAAAAATAAATCTTTGAAAAATCAATTGAACAGAACTACCTGATGATACCAAAAAATTGAAACCAAGGTAGCAGAATCAGTTGATTTCCTGAGATACATCTCTCTCTCTCTCTCTCTCTCTCTATATATATATATATATATATATATATATATATATATATATATATATAAATTAAATAATATACATTTTAGCAGCAAGTTTTCTTTCAAATGTGCTTGGTTATATAATATTGTCTAGTCCTGTCTATTGAATTTTTTATTAATTTTTTCCAAAATTTTCGAATTAGTTGTTTTGAATAATCAGTGCATTTACCAAAGTTCATTTTTATTTTCTGTTTTTTAACGTTAAAGTCATAAGTGAATTGTTGAACAAGGTTACAATCAAAAGTTTCCTAAGGGTTTTTTTTAACCATTAAATGCCAGATAGATTGGCGGCATTTAAAAAAAAAAACTTTAAGAAGCATTTGAGCGTAACCCAAACATTTGAACTCAACATTAAAAAACCAAAAATAAAAATGAACTTTGGTAAACGTAACGAACTTATTGAAGAATAATGCGCCCACTGGCAGGATTCAAACCTGAGTCAGGATCCGAACCCCGCAGTGTGAATTTTTCTTAATACTGTTTAATATATACGGAGCATCTACTTAAATATGGGTATCCGCTTATAGTAGCATGTAAAGTAAAATAAAAAATATATGTTGGATTAATGACTAACAATTCATTAGTTCGTTAGAAATGTGTGTGTGTGTGTGTGTGTGTGTGAAAAGTGTATATAAATATAAATAAATATATATATGTATAATTATTTATATATTATATGCGCGGTACTTATTAGAAAGCGCTCAATATCAGAGATAGAGCTAACATATTTGGTTGGATAGATGTGAGTTTGTGACCCTGGGTTTCACGCTTTAGCGATTGTCTGACGATCGCTACAGCGTGAAACCCAGGTCACAAACTCACATCTATCCAAATAAATATATATATATATATATATATATATATATATATATATTTGGTCTACAAATCACATCTATATATATATATATATATATATATATATATATATATATATATATATATTTGGTTGGATAGATGTGAGTTTGTGACCCTGGGTTTCACGCTTTAGCGATCCTCAGACAAACCCCTGACGATCACTAAAGCGTGAAACCCAGGGTCACAAACCACATCTATCCAACCAAATATATATATATATATATATATATATATATATATATATATATATATATATATATCCCATATGTGCGTGCGTGTTCCTGTTAGCCTGCATATATATATATATATATATATATATATATATATATATATATATATATATATATATATATTCCCCACCATATATATATACTGTCTTATAATAAGGAATCAGCACACATATATGTGTATATATACCCAATATTTTACACACACACACATGTTTCTCTTGTTGGAACAACTATAACCTTTTCATATATATATATATATATATATATATATATATATATATATATATTATTCTCGTTAAGTGAATCAGAGAAACAAGAATCTGAGTAAACGTTTCATAGTTACATGAGCGTACAGAGATGTTTAATCCTTGGCGACCGCGTATTAAGAAAATTGATATGGAGTTGTTGCTTTAAAGATGGGGGGATATTCCATACCAGTTAGATTTGATTTGTAATTGAAATTTCCACGGATATTAAAGCACACTGACCGGAAAGATATTCTCAGTCTTATCTCGCAATCTGTTATTAGTATCTATGGTAATGACAAACAGGTGCCCAGTTGTTTTGCCCTTGTGACAGTCTCAGCTCACTAACTGATAACATCTTCGAGCTAGTACTCCATACACTTCATCTTTACTACTACACTTTTTTTGTCGTGATAATCTTAGTAAATAGTTACATGCTTCAAGTAAATTTATGGTTATTTTTTTTTTATTTATTTTTTTTTTTTTAAGCATTTCACTCCAAGCAAGGCTGGAGTGCCACTAGCAGGCAAGGGCTTACAGACGGTAGAAAAGAGGCGTGTTTGGGGAGAGGAAAAAGAAAGGACGGGGAACAAGATCAAGGGATCAGACGATATCGATTAACATTACACTTGAATATTTGAAGATTATAGTTATCGGAGAAGTAAGCAAGAGGAAGGGAGTTCCACAGACGGGAATTCCGAGAGAAGAAGCTGTTTGAGTAGAAGAGACGGTTATATTTAACCGTTTCAACAGTGAAAGGGGGGTGGGACCGAGATGCCAACCTAGTAGTTTGCTTAAATTCATGCAGTCTGGGAACCAGATAAAGCAACTCGTCGGAACAGTTGCCGTGAAAATACTTATAGTAGAGACAGACGGAAGCTACGACACGTCTGTGAGAAAGGCACTGTAGATTAGATGCCAGATCATGACCTATCACATTGCATATACGTCTCTGGATTTTTTCGAGGACCTCGAGACTTACAGTTAAGGTACCAGACCATATATGACAGCAATATTTATATCGTGCTCCTTTTATCATGCGCTTGTGCCAGTTTACATTATGTTTGTTTGTTTAACGGCATATCAACTCCTTATGGATCTATACCGAAATTTAATTTTCTTGAGAACTTTAGTATTTTTTTTCCTTTTTACAAAAATCTGTTGCTGGTATTTTTTTTAAATCTATTTCTGGTATTATTATTTTTTTACTATGAAAATGCATTTTTTTACCTTCAATTTTTTTTTTTTTTTTTTACCCCAGTTTTTACCTCACTATTTACCCATAGCCAGGACCCTAACAGGTGCTACCACACCGGGTCAAGATAGACCAGGGAATAATAGCAATTAAGAAGTGGTTCTACAATTCTTAAATTCTCCCGATCAGACGCCTTGTGGCCGGACGTAATATATTGTCATACCCAGGACGGTTACATTATGTAAATGAAAAACTTTGGCTCGCCACGTAGATACGATAGTTGCATACCGGAGATTCGAGTCCCAGGAAAACTGAGGAATATTTTTAACGGAGGACGGAAAGTGCAACACTGAAATCCGAAGGCGTATTGGGTTAGTGAAAGGTGCCTTCTAAAAGGTAACAAACGGAAATATTTCGTTAAAAACAAAGAAAAGCGTACTGAACAGTTATGATCAGCCCTCCAACATGGCAGTGAATGCTGGAAATCTCCTAACAGATGAAGAACAGATTTTAAGCAACAGAAATCTCGTACTACAGAAGGGTGATGAGAATGAAATGGACCGAACATGTGAGCAACGACAAAGTTTAAAGAAAATAGAAACACTAAAGGAAACTTATATTTAACTTCAGGAAGAGACAGTTGAAATTTCTAGGGCACATTATCAGGAAAGACAGCTTGGTAAATTTGATAATCAAAAGTCAGATTGAAGGAACAGAAGAAAACAACAAATTTCCAACCCAGTGAGCTTGAATAAATAGATGTCGGAGCAAGGTTTTGGGGATATAAAAATTACAAATATATTAAGAGCTTTAAAGGACAGGAAATTGTGGAGAACCATGATCGTCTACGTCCTGAAGGTACACAGCGTATAGAAGAAGAAGAAGAAGAAGAAGAAGAAGAAGAAGAAGAAGAAGAAGAGTCGGATTTCCCGCCTCTTACATATTTTTTTACTCCACATACCTCACATGGCCCGATATTATTCGCACTTTTCTCTCTTTCAATTGATATTTAAAACATCGGGTGACAAAACTCTTGCTTCTTCAAATATCTACGGGCTAAACGCGAAATATGATTATGTATTAGATTTCATTTTATTGATGAATATTTATATATTGATATATATATATATATATATATATATATATATAATTTTGTTTCCTTCAAGTTACACGAAAACAGATTCGCCGTGTAAAGTGAATTTAATTTCTATTATCCAGCACATCGATTTGAAAACTGAATTTGAATCAATTAATTATTTGTTTAGCACTAATTAGAGGAAATATTCGTACACAATCCGATCGAATATACAGATTCTAATTGGCGATCAGTGTTTTTAGCAATCGAACTGGCGTTATTGATGGTGCTTTTACTACCGAAACAGCTGCGTTTTCTGTTGCAGATAACATGCCTTCTGCCGTTCTGGTTCCGATGATTTCTGCGACTAGAATTTGCAGAATTGATGCTACTGCTATAATTTTCCAGGGTTTGGATTACAATTAGTGAAAATAGTGTGGGATTCCTCGCTTTTGCATACGTGGCATTCTTCAGTTCTCTCTCTCTCTCTCTCTCTCTCTCTCTCTCTCTCTCTCTCTTTGTCATTCACGTGCTCTCACACACAATCTCCTTTTCTCTCTCTCTCTCTCTCTCTCTCTCTCTCTCTTCCACACGCATACATACGCACACAAAAAATCTTACTCTGTTTTTCTCTCTTCATCAAATAGTCAAGACTCCCTACTTTAGTTATTAGCGCAATACAATCTTTCTCTCCCTATATTTATTTTAATACAAAGCTTGGTAAGTTTGAAATTACTCTCTCTCTCTCTCTCTCTCTCTCTGGCTCTCTCACCCTCTCTCTCTCTCTCTCTCTCTTTTCTTTCTTTCTTCCACGCACAGTCAAGACTCCTTACTTTACAAATTACTACAGTACAATCTTCATGTCGTTCTGTATGAAGTTTACTAAATTTTGTATTCTCTATCTTTCTCTAACACTCTCTTCCCGTCTCTCTCCGCCTATCTCTTACTCTCTCTCTCCAACTCCCCCTCCTCTCTCTCTCCAACTCCCCCTCCTCTCTCTCTAATTCGCTCTTTCTCTCTTCCACACACATACACACACACTTAAAAAAATCTCACTCCCTTGTTCTCCCTACGTCACATATAGTCAAGACTCCCTACTTCAGTTATTAGCTCATTACAATATTTCTAACCTTATTTTTTTTTCCAAACGAAGCTTGGTAAATTTGAAATTACTCACTCTCTCGATCTCACGCACTCACTCACACAAGCACACTCTCCCTAACTCCCCTCTCTCTCTCACTCTTTCTTTCTTTCTTTTCTCTTTCATCCACGCATAGTCAAGATTCTCCACTTTACAAATTACTACAGAGCAATATTCTTGCCTTTCCGTTCGAAGTTTACTAAATTCCGTATTCTCTATCACTCTAACTATCTAACACTCCCTACCCCTCTCTCACTCTAACTGTCCACCTCTCTCATACTCTCGCTCTATGCCTCTCTAACTCCCCCTCCTCTCTCTCTAACTCTCTCTCTCTCTCTCTACCATTTTCTTTGTTGACATCTACAAGAACGACAAAAGAATTCGAGGAATCTTTATCATTTCAATGAACTCTTTGTATTGAAATTTAAAACCAGGACAAACATTTAAAACAAAAAAAAAGGAAAGATAACATTTTATTTCTTAAAAGGATCAAATTTTTTTTCGTTTTTATTTATTTCATTTTGTTTATTTATTCTTTTGTATTATAAATATGTCCAAATTGAAAAACAACGTTCCTTATTACTGAGAGATTTTGACGGAGGAATATCCAGACAGCCAAGTATAAACAGACGCACTAAGTGTCATGAACTCTTTTATATAGGCCCCTGCCTGGCGCATGTTATTTTGTTCATACATGTGTGCCAGGTTTGGAATTGTAAAAGACACACATACTCTACACACAAGAAATGAGGAGGATTTTACCGTAAATTATGCTGTCAGAAAAACACAACTGGAAAACAAAGGGGTTTGTATATTTAATATTCCCTTGCAATAATTATTAGCTTTCTCTCTCTCTCTCTCTCTCTCTCTCTCTCTCTCTCTCTCTCTCTCTCTCTGTTTCGATATATATAATATATATATATATATATATATATATATATATATATATAAAATTGTATATTTGTGTCTCTTTTTCTCTGATTGCTTCCTTATCGTTACCATGTTTCAGGTTGAGCTATGGAAATAGCAAATTCGGTTTGCCACGTGGCTAAAATAGTTGCATGCTTTTCCCCCGGTGTCAAATGTTGATATTCGAGCTGATTAAGAGAATCGAATTCTAATAATAGTTACAAGTTACGAAGGCGCGACACAATCTTTATGAATCGTTTTCGATTTCTTCACGTACTTGCGAAAGTCCTTTAAATATTTATGTGATTATTTTTATTTAAAATATATTTAGCCAATTGCAAAGGCCTTCTTTCTAACTCATTATATACATACATACATGCATATATATATATATATATATATATATATATATATATATATATATATGTATACGATTCCGATAACTCTAGCTACATATATTATACATTATATGTGTATATAAATGTACACATTAAGTTAAATAATTAGAATACAAAAACATCATAGATAATGGACAATAGAATAGCCGAAAGCGCTCGGAAATATAACACATTTGGACAGTTTTATGAATATAAGAAAATTTAAATAAAAAGCTTATTCGCACTGCCTTGAAAGTCGTGTTTAATGAAAATTATAAAAAGAGCGATTATTGCTGAACTAATACACAATTGCTTTATGTGTGTGTGTGTGTGTGTTTGCATTCCTATTTTTTGTAAAATATTTAGAAATGATCAATGTTATGTATTGACTTACCAATATATATATATATATATATATATATATATATATATATATATAGGTCCTGACGATTGCCTTTGGTATGAAACAGAATATCGCCGCTGGACGTTGAGTTTAATGTCCACTTTTATATTTACATACACTCTATATCTGATATTGAGCACTTTTACCCATAAATATAGCATACCTTAAAACTATATATATATATATATATATATATATATATATATATAACAGATATCATCTCAAAGAAAAATTAATTTTACCAAATTCATTTATTTTGATATTGAATTTTAAATTTGATTTTTACAATGTGATTCAAAAAATGGAGGTGAGAACTGAGAAATATATAACGGAACTAATAAATATATATATATATATATATATATATATATATATATATATATATATATATATATGTTTATCTATGTATTTACGTAGGGTAGCGGCTATCGATTTGGAAAGCATGTTATTAGCATGTCTTTTTAAAATTCCAGCTGAGACCCGTGATTTCGCTTTCGAGAAAATGATAGTTCAAACATCTACATTCATCGATTTTGAACCCCAAGCTATAGGTTATTGGCTTGGAATATTCAACTCTATAGCTTTGTTTGGCAACCAATACTGAAGAAGGAAAATATATATATATAAGTATAAGTGCGCAGGTATGCCGAAAATAGAAAAGAACACGTTGGGTGCATAATCCGGGGTTCCTTAGTATTTTTGTTTTTATTTTTAAGAAGACAGGGCTCCATACAGAAGTAGAGCTTATATTATAATAAAAAATTTTTTGTTTAAAAATATGATTCCTTCGCTACATAAGAGTTCTCAATTTTTCCAATACGAGAGCCGAAACCAGCCAAATAATTATTTTAGGATTCCTAAAATTTCGCTTGAAGATGAAACGGGACTAAACACCTCAATTCAACTTAATTTTGATAATCATTTGGATGGTTTCGGCTCTCGTTTTTGAAACATGAGAACTCTTATGTAGCGAATGAATCATATTTTTAAACAAAATATATATATATATATGTGTGTGTGTGTGTGTGTGTGTGTGTGTGTGTGTGTGTGTGTGTGTTTCGTTTTTAATGAAACTTGTTTAAAATTGTGATTTCTGCCCAATATATATATAAACTTTATATTTATATGGGCACAGATGTTCGATTATACAATCTTTTTTTTTCTAAATTGAAGAAGCCAACAAATGTTCAATTACTGTCGTAAAGCATTAGTTAAAGTTTCGACATCTCAGGTTTATGCTTTTATTTTGTTTTACGGCATATCAACCTCAGTGGCTTATTTCACACTGGCAAGATTTTTGGAATAGATTCGAATGAATAGAATATGTATTCTTTGTAAGAAATCACTTACCACGTTTCATTGACATTTTCCTAAAATGCATTGCCAGTAATTTTTTTTTTTTCAAAAAACTTATTGCTGATAATATTATTTAAATAAAGGGAGTTGCTGGTAATATTTTTAAATGGTTTGCTGGTATTATTTTTTTCAAAAGAGTATTGTTTGTAATTTTAAAAAATTTTTTTGTTGGTATTTTTGCTATAAAAATTTATTTTTATACGTTCGTAATGTTTTGACCCCAGATTGGGTGTTAACTATGTGCCCATAGCTGTGACCCTAACACGTCCTACCACACTGAGCTTGGGTGGACCTGGGAACAACAGAATTTAAGGGGTAAGAGTTTATTCCACATTCCTTAAAATCTCCTGATCTGAGGCGTTGCTGGTGTATGTAGTGTATAGTCATAACTAGGACAGTTCGATATCTAGGCCGGTGGTCATTAATGCCACTGTTTAATAATTAATGAAAAACGAAAATAGGGATGTCTAGCAAAAAATGTGTAATATATATATATATATATATATATATATATATATATATAGTTATCAGATGGCCCGAAAAAGTAAAAGACTGAATCTAGAAGATCATTTAACACTTCTAACTGAGGAAGGGCCTACAAAACTTAAGTATATTAAAATTCCGTCCCTAACACACACACACACACAGGATGCGATGGATAAATTGTCGCCTAACTTACGCCAAAATGCAAATAACACTGACATCTCATTTTAACAGATATATTTACCAAAATTGTACCATATGATTTTGAAATACTAAAGTATAAACTTATTCAATAAAATCGCTATTGGCGTCAACCACGTCCTGCAGACGATTTCGGAATCTCCTGCAACTGTTCTGGGAGGTCTACTTGTTTAAGTTAGTGAATGCTGCCATAATCCTTGCCTTCAGTTCATCTTTGTTGTTACAAGGAGTTTTTGTTGGTCTCTCGCTCAACTGCGCCACACATAATAATCAAGAGGTTTGCAGTCTGAGGCGTTAGGGGGCCAGAAGGGTTGATGTGGTCGCATATATTGACTGATATCCATGACTGGGTTCTCCTGCTCGTGTGGCATGGTGCAGAGTCTTATTGACAGGCCTAGGTTCTTCCAACAGCCACCCTCTTGACCCAAGGAAGCACCAGCTCTTCAAGGCAATTGATGTAGGGCCCTGTGTTGAATCTGAGGCCCTCGTCAACAAGTGATCAGAGAGATTTTTCCGTGCTGCCATACCTTCGTAATCACCATTATACTCATCCAACTCTTTCCGAATCCTTTCTACTGTCGTCAGGTAGACACCCAAACATTCTGAAATGTTTGTATTTGATCTACCGGCGTGAATGTCAAGCAGTACAGTGTGCCTTTTCTAAATTTCAGGCAGAGTGAATTGAGTCATGGTGCTCTTTTTCTTACAGACGGTGCCCAATTGACCTTAAATATATTGTGCAGTCGACAAAATCAAAAACAAATAACGCGCATGCGCGTAAGTAAAAACATAAAATGGCGACTATATGTGTGTGTGTGCGTGCGTATATATATATATATATATATATATATATATGAGTTGATATTGAAATCAACACCCAGGGTCGACAGTTCGTTTCATGCTTAATCGCAATAGTTAGGACATATGTTTTGTGTTTTTATATATATATATATATATATATATATATATATATATATATATATATATATTAGTCAGTGATGCATTATTGGTAGTCTTATTGTATTATTCCCATGGTTATTTGAGTGGGATGTAATAGATATATTTCTAATTATTCAAGGGGCTATCGACTGGAAGTAATTGTGGGTTCGGATGGTGTTTTGTAGTAAATTGTTG